GCTTTGTTTTTGACCGCAGTCTAAGGAGATGGCTTCCTACTTTATAAATGGAAGACGACCACTGTACTATAATAGCACGTTGTATTTAGGAAGATTCTCGTTAAGATCAATCACCCTTTCGCGCATTTAACGTCTAGGGAGCAAGGATACAGTATATGTCCTTGCTCTGCCCTTTTAATTGCAGTAGCCGTGGTTCGATGTCATATGCGTACTGACGAGATATAGGCGTTGTGGGCTTTTGTATAGTGATGCTGCCGTGTCTTCGTCGTGCAAGTGCTATAGGTAGGTCACTCTACCGAGCGTTTTTCCTCTGCCAGGTAGGGCTTTCCTTTCTGAGATGCCGCCGCTTTTACGAGGGCGCTCAGAGTCAGGCTCACTGAGTAAATCTCAGACCAGACTCAGACCCAAAGAGCTGATCAGAGTATTCACGCTCAGTGAGTCTGATCAGTCAGCTCAGTGATTAACTAACATTTAGAGACCTGTCTGAGCTAACTAACTTAACTAGTTAGTTAACTAGTTAACTATCTAACTTATTAACTAAGTTAAGCACCCAGTCCGCCTTGCTCAGTCCAACTTCGAAGCACAGCGCCGTACAATATTGTTTTTTTTCGCGCATTACTTTTGTATAGCCCTCTTTTTCCCTTATGAACCCATTTCTTGAGTTATTGCATCCTTCCAAGGAAAAGAAGGTTAGGTAAACCCTGCCAAAATAAAGAAAGGCACCAGAGAAAAGCGATTTTTTAGTCTCTGTTACGCTCAGGTACGAGAGGAAGATAAACAACCAATGTAGTAGCATTAAATGAGACAACTAAGCATGGAGAAGGAAAGAAGGGAAGATGGTGAAAAAAATCTATCTAAATACACCAAAGGAATCAGGCATCAACATCAACCCCATACATGTGGTTCGTAACACTAGCTAGCTACGGAGGAGTCTTGGCTCCTAGATAATACACTATTAACGACTAAACTAACTAGAAGAAAGCTAAAGTGGCGTTCCAGAACGGTGGTAGTTAGGGTAAGAGCAAGGACCGAACCTACTACTTAACAGTATATCAACATTTTTGCGAAACGAGTCTAGTATATCGGCTAGAAAGGACTTTTGCTCCTCCCAAATTTCAAAAGAGCTTCTCGATCTTTTCCTAGAATCCCAAAAAGTCACAAGTGAGTATGTGTATTTGCTAAGAAGGTTTAAATAGTAGGTTTACAAACGCGATACTTTAAGAGATGGATCTCGCGAGAAACGTGTTGGTATAACGGAAATGACCGTGATTCGCGACCAGATTATTCAGTTTAGCTTGAAAGTAAACACTAAGTGTGTGTATACCTTATGGTTTAAGGGCGTATGGTTGATAATGCCGGTCATCAGCGTAGGCAACAACTTAGTTATCCTATTAACACCCCCAGCGAGTGTTCCGTCTGGTGCCGTGTTTGGTGGATGCCGCCTAAACTTGCGAGTGTGTGCTATCCAACACCGGGCTATCCAATCGATCACGTATAAAACACCTAGTTTATGGGTTGCGGGGGCCGATTCGAAATGGTCGAAGATTTTCTGAATAAGATCAGGTTCCTCCTGCTGGCAAACTTAGCCTCGTTTCACGTTCAGGTCATAACTTTATATAATGAGATTGCTAAGGGAAAGAGATGAGTGGACATATAATGTCTACCTTAATATTGGAGGTGCATAACCTAGCAATGTATTGAACCTTAGATCCTGTTATCCCAGGTGGTTCCAGATCCAAGGTGGATGTGAGGTATTCGTCCAGCCTGGCTCCAGCTGCCGACATTGTAGTTATGTATCTGACGGACATCCGATAGATATTTGAAGAAATACGATTGACTTGGGGGAAATGACCATACTGAAATCCCATAACTTCACACTAGTCCAATCTCTGGTACCGTGGTACACGGGCGGATACTAAGCCCATATCAACTCTTGGGAGTACCCACCGCCAGGAACATGACGTGACGGACCTTCCTTCCTTCCTGTCGCTGTTGAAACCTCGCTCCTTCTACATTAACATATCTCATCATGGCTCCTGCCGACAACGACTGCGTTTGGGAGATCACCTCCCGCTGGGAGGAAATCCTCGAGTGGTGTAAGTCTCTTTGCTTCCTTGAAATCCCCCCCCCCCCCCCCCCCCCCCCCCCCCCCATCTCTGCACTGTCCACCGTTCTTAAATATATACTCCCAAACTCACAAAATGGCGATCACAGGCTCAATGCTACCACCAACCTCCCCTGCCTCCGCGTCTCCTTCTGGTAGTCGGTCGCGGCAAGTTGTGTCGGCTCCAAGCACGCCGTTGCCACGATCCCGAGCAGTCTCGATCAGCGGGGAGAGTGTTGTCACAACATCTACACAATCTGGAGCCTTCACAGAGACCGTGAGGTATCAGCTCAGAGCCATCTATGATACGGAACGGCCATGCTGGGTTTGTCAAGCGAAGGAAGCCGACTGCGCCCATGTCTTTGCGAAAGAAGACGGCCAGGTATGCCATTCCCTTGCGATGTTTGTTTGATGAGCTCAATGACGCTAATGTGTTTGTATAGGCAAATCTATGGGCAAAGATAGGCCTGATCCCACCAGGGGCCAACCTCAAGGCAAAGGAGAATGCCATTTTCCTCTGCAAACTCTGTCACCACCGTTTCGATAATGCCTCACACCCAGGGCTTGTCTTCTTCCCTGTTGACTTGGGGTTTTTTATTGATTTCGAGAAGGCCGACCAAGTCCGCCGTAAGGAAGCGACACAGACTGGCGCGCCTATTCGCCGTCGCACACCATCGGCAGCGGAATATAAGAACCACCAGATGAAACAAGCCTTGGTTGAGCCACACTCGATTGGGGGTCTATATCGCACCGTCATGTTGGAACCGTTCCTTTCTGAGGGACTTCCCAAACATGTCAGCAGTGTGATCATTGAAGATCGCACCAAGGTCAGGGAATGGCACGGCGAGCCAATGTATACGCTCCGCCGCGCGTTGCAACTCCTGGGGAACATCCAGAACAGGTTGCTGGCCCCTGAGATCAAAAAACAGCTGCAAGAGCTGATGGAGCTCTACACCAGCGATCAGATTGAGGATGACGAAGATGATTCAGACTTTGATTTTGAAATGAGTCGCGCCAATCGGTTCGACAGGGGCACCAAACGTCCATATCCAGGACCTGATGATACAGGCAATGCCGGACCTCCCGGTGATGTCCATGGAAACCCGGATGAGGATGAAGGCCCTCGTGACCCGCAACTATGCCCGGAGGGTGGGCAGAATGATTTTGGTGTATCGGCGAAAAGAGTCAAGCGCGGCTGTCGCTCAGTCGACGAGACCGTTTTGCCGGAGCATCATCACCTGAACCTGACTCCGCATCGTACATTGTCACGCCGATGGAAATTGGGACCTCTCTCGACAGCTGAGGATGCAATTCGCATCCGCACGCAGTTGATGGCACCTGCTTGAGAATGTCAATAACAGGAGGAACTGTCTGGCCCGAATTCCTATATTGTTTTTTGGTGGACACGAGATCCTTTGGGAGAGTCCCGTACTGACTTTGGCTTATTGCCTAGCCCGAGTAGCCATTATCTTATGTTACTGGGCTGTATCATTATCGTGTATTGCTAGGTCGCTTCCATTGTCCTGCTCTATGTATAACTGTGGTAATATTGAAGAGCCATGGGCCTTTTCTCTATTCCCTATCTTGAAAAATGTATTTGGTGAAGGACTCTAAGAATTCATAAAGGATAGCAACAGATGGTGGAGCCCATAACTCAGTTTGCGAGTTACGGGCTTTGGGGCAGGGTCAAACCTCGTAACCCACAAACTGAGTTATGGCAACTCAGATGAGAGTTGAGCGATTTCCTGATCAACCGTCAGGAGCTGTGCCATGAGATTTTCGCGGGTCTCACGTAGCTCTCGAAGCCTTCGCTCCACATCACCCAGTCGTAAAGGAACATATTCCGTAGGTTCTTGATCACGGAAACTGCATCGATGTCCCTGGCCTGCCCAATGACAATTCGCACAATCGAGAAGCCTCCCGGGGACAACAACACAGGATGTAAACAAGCCCTGACCCCGCCGGCAGTGATTGCAAGCTTGGTCAGGTACTACCTGCGCACCAGTTGCTTGTGCCAAAAGGGCTTCCACGTTCTCGCTCCTCCATCCGACTAATCGGTGAAACGCTGGGCCATCGTAGGAGGACCGGGACGCACGCAAAACAGGCTCGCGGTACAGCCCATTCTCGCGTAGTGCGTATAGCCTGGTTGATGCGTTCTGACTATTCCGGCGGCCTCTCATCCAAGGATTCGCCAGTGCGGCGTGAGCCCAGAAACCTGGCTCCTCTTCATCAGCAGGCCCCTCCCCGTCTCGTCTGCTAAGGGGTCGGGGTGCATCTGCAGGGTCGTGATGAGTTGGATTCATGACTGGCGAGATATAAGCCTCTTCCTTGATGCTCTCTAGGCGTTACGTACCGTCGGCGGATAAGAGTAGGTGTAGATTGTAGATGAGAGTAGATGTAGCATATGGGTCTCAGAGGTGTAAGAGGGAGATTAAATGGCATTTGGGGTTGATTAGGCAGATCACCATGATCGTCAAGGCAACCCTCTTCAGCCTTCCATCCTCAAGCTTCCATCACCACTTCCATCTCCATCCACCATCTCCATCCACCATCTCCATCCACCATCTCCATCCACCATCTCCATCCACCATCTCCATCCACCATCTCCATCCACCATCTCCATCCACCATCTCCATCCACCATCTCCATCCACCATCTCCATCCACCATCTCCATCCACCATCTCCATCCACCATCTCCATCCACCATCTCCATCCACCATCTCCATCCACCATCTCCATCCACTTCTCCATCTCCTTTTACATTTCTATTTCCATCGCCCTATTCATGTCTATCACCCCATCTCCTTTGGCATATCCTTCTTCATCGACTCATCAATCTCCATCTTCACCACCTCTCTCCCACCTCTCTCCCGCCTCTCTGCCAGCATCACCAACATGCCAGAAACTCCGGATCCAACCCAGGACAACCCCCGGGTTTTCCATCAGCTCTCGGTATGGGATATCGTGCGCCAAGCCACATCTCGTGGGATAGGCGCCCGCACCTCAACCTAGTGAGTCTCCCATATTGGATGAAAGTGAGTCATGAAACTCATTTGAATATTAGCTGGCCCGGCGATCCCGAATTTACCAATACCGGTGATTACACCAATATCGGGGAGCCGTTGGCTATCCCGGAGGCCCATGCTGGGGAAACGGATCGACCTCCCGCGGAGTGGGCACACTTTATCTGGCTGGCCCCTTTTAGTGTCGCTCGTCAGGCGCAACGCCTCAAGGGTAAACTCCACGAGCTACTGAAAAACGAACCGGTGCGGGAGCTTGCGTGCCGGAAACGCTACTTCGGGAGTGGCAGACGCCAGGATGAAATCATTGGCAACAGCCTCTCTAACGTAGAATCCGCAGCTGTATTCTGCCAGGGAGTGGTCCAGCCTGATGACAAGCAGTGCGAAAGCTGTCTAGGGGCTTTAGGCCCTTGGGTATGTAACTCCTTTCAGGCACTTTGACAGTTAACCGGGGGGGATAAAGATAACTGATGAAGTAATAGGCAAAGTGCGTGTAACTGGAGGGCGGAGAAGGCCATCTTGCGGCCTGTGCAAACTGTATCTGGAACGGAAGACACGAGCGGTGCAGCTTGTGGCGGGATGTGCAGACAGGGTCGACCCCAGAGCGTCAAAATCAGGGCCACCAACGCAACAAGCCCTCAATCAGCAAGAAGATGGCTAATGATGCATGGGCTGAAGCTAAACGCACTGTGAATCGGGCGAAAGGTCTCAGTGCCAAAATTGCGCAGGCTCTTGCAAATGAGCAATTTGACGTGGCCAGGGCGCTGTTCGGGGAGCAAGAGCAGTGGTTCGAGGACTTCAAGCACCCAGAGGGCATCTTAGACCTCGTGCACCCCGCTCAACCCAACTCGCCGCAGCGACCAAATTAGTTTTTTTTTTTTTTTTTTCGTTCCGTAATGGTGTCTGGCATACTCTCGCTCACATATAGTTTTAATTTACATACTGGATCTCACAGATTTATTTGTAATTCATGCGGCCTAGTTATCAAATGCTCATGTCTCATCCCCAGAAACCATAAAATGATTGCAGAGCGAAGCTAAGCAAAATATTCTCAAACTATCCTGCTGCCTATCTTGCTGCCTTTCCTGCCAATTTTCCTAATTTCCTTGTGTTGGCCGCTCGCAGATATTGAGGATTGGTAAATGGCCCGATTTTACTATGTAAATCAAAAATCAGAAGTGAATGTGGTATTGATAGTAATGGGGATGCTTGATCATGGGGATGCTTGATCATGGGGATGTTTGGTCATGGGAATGTTTGATCATGGGGATGATTTCGATTAAAATACCCACGATACCCACGATTCCACAGATCCTCCTCCGCTCCCGCTCGACTGAGCCTCGGGAGGTATAGTATCTGACGGAACAGAAGCAGCAGTGGACCCCGGAAGGAGGAATAACTATAGTTAGTTAACGTAGTTCACGGGCGAGTGGTCAACACGGGCGAGTGGTTAACCCCAAAACACCATACTAAATGCCGTCTTTTGATTCATCTATATTGAGACCACCAGAGCCTTGATTAGATTAAAAATTCGGAACATGCATTTACTATGATATAGAAAAAGTATGTATATTCTTTTAGCTATGTATGAAGATTATTTAGATGCGTTACCATAAGATACGCTGTATTTTTGTCATTCCAGGCTTGGTTTTATATATCTCCGCCAGTACTTTGATTTTATCACCCTAAAATATGCCAGTAGCCTAGAAATAGTATTAAATATATGGCCCCTTAATATTTAATTATAAATTCATCTGGTTGTTAAGATATGAAGTTGTAATTTATCGCATTTAGTATGGTGTTTTGGGGTTAACCGCTCGCCCGTGAACTACGTTACTTAAATTGCCAGATAGTTAACTAACCTAGGGGCTTTATAACTAGCAATTCAGACTTGTTGATAACTAGTTATCCAATTGGTGCGCACTATGCTTGACTAAGCAGTATTTCCGACTGTAACTAACTATCGCACTGTCAGGGTACACCCTGACACTGACGGTCCGAGCTGAATGTTTTGAAGCGATTATAATGTTAGGACTTGCTTAGCGCGGGTCCTAATTAGAGATATACGAATCAGAGTGAAGGTTCCAAGATGGCTCTGTATTGCAAGAGACTAATCGCTGGAAGACTCAATCTATGTGCGCTCTAAGTCCTGCAGGGTAACGTAAACCACGGTCACCCTGGCCACCTACCCCCATTAGAAAATTTCAAAATCGATTATCTCAACCAACACCCATTAATTCAACTAGATAATACGATTCTTACATGAAGTAATCCTGTGGCCAATTTGGCCACATCCACTGCAGGTAGGTGGAGCCCTTATAGCCAGTTGAATCGGCTGATTAGGCAGATCGACCTCCTCATGCGATACTACCTCATTAGCTTCTACTGGCTGAATTGGCTGCTGAACTAGCTGTTGACCCTCTTCGATCGATAGACCCCCTTTGTGTGCAATCTGCCTAGTCGATCGAGTGCGCTTTTGACGTTTCTTTTCATTCGCTTGGCGTAGATCGGCGTTCTCCTGCGCTAGTAATGCACCGCCATGTAATGAGAGATAGGCGCCCTTGATAATTTGATCAAGCATAAGTTTTGACGGTGTAGGCGGGCTATGCGATCGCTTTTAAGAAGCTCTTTAAGCATAGAAGCTTGCTTTTCTAGGTGAATTGCTGTTTTAGGCGTTTTTGGTGTGAATTGGCTGGATCTGCTGCTAGGTCGACTGCTCTGTGGTGTAGGCGTTCGTAGGCAAATCGTAAGCTTCGAAAGCACTCTTTCGGCATCAACTAGTATAAGACCGGCAGCCACGAAGCTATTTCGAATAATATTCGGCTGAAAAGCCTCGATCCTCGCGCGTGGGTAATCAGCGAGGAAATCAAGCTTGTTAATATGATTATAGCCAGTGCGGGCTAAATCGCTCACGAAGCGCGCGTAGGCACGCTAAAGCACTGCAAAGCACCTAATATCAAGCGGCTGCAATAAGTGAGACGAATGTGAAGGCACATAAAGTGGTATAATATCATTTTCGGCATAGATTCGATCAATTTGAGGTGTAAGATGGCTACCGTGCCCGTCAAGGATTAACAGCCGAATCGCCCTCGTACACGCGAAGCAGTACATGGAATAAAGATGTTTTGAAGCCAGCGAAGGCCGATTTCATCGGTAGTCCAGCCATTATTTGACACTTCGATTCGCCAATCCCTAGGGAGATTCGACGATTCAAACCACCTAGCGATATAAACCTAGCCTTTGAAAATAATATAGAGCGGCAGCGTATAGCCGTTAGCGCATATTGCTTCGATCGTAGTGACCCACTCGCGATTACTAGGCTGTAGAATTGATCGCCGACCGTAGTATTCTGCTCGTGTAACCACCTTCTGCGATGATATAAGGCCCATCGCAAAGCCTGTCTTATTAAAGTTGTAGATATCCTCCGGTTGAATCCTATTCTCATTAATTGCACGTTGCACCATCAAAAACTACTCTTTTATAGCCTTTGGATCCTCGTTAAGAGCGCGCTGGTAATTATATCGTCTAGAAAAGCGTGTTCGAAGCTTATCGCGCCGATTAACGAGTGTTGATGCCCAATTAACGCCAACGGTTAATGGGGGGTTGGTTCCACGCGATGCAAGAAGGATATTAGCCATCTCTCGAAAGGTAGACGACCTAGGCGCTGCTCCACGCGATTCCATAGAGAGGATCCATTCAGTGAGCGAATCCTCTTCTAATTGGGTCAATTTCTGGTTAGGGTTACGTCTCTCAGCGATAGAGACTACACCATATGGACGCGTTTGTAGGGTACTGCGCGGAATTTCGTATAGCTTCGCTGCTGCGCGAATAGATTCGACGCGGCCATTTTTAACATCGGAAAGGGCTAATAAGATCTTGCCCTCTTGACTAGCCGATTTATGCGAGATTTCAGCACGAATTGGTGGCATGGTAGTTGGTTGAATTTGGTAGGTTGGTAGATTGACGCGTTTTCTGTTGGGGTGGCTAGGGTGACCGTGGATTACGTTAGTTAACTACGGCGGGCGGTCCTGACTACGTATGCAGGGCTACTGCGGGGCCAGCCGTAACATAAAGATACACGAATCAGGGGCCTCTCCGCTACGAAAAGCACTATAGAAGGTTAGTAGCCTTTATAAATAGCCTTAAGGTCTAAAACACTAAAATTTCAATTATAAAGACACGAATGGTAGGCCTCTTCCCCACAAAAAGTAGCCTATTAGGTATAGCTATTCAGAATTACAGGCGTAATAGCTCTGTATCGCTCCCCTCAGAACTATAATATCGGTATTCAGTATTATTAAAGATATTCATAAATATTAGTCAGGAATTTTATGTAGGTTAAATTAGGCATAGCGTTAAAGTTATACATCCATGTGACTATGTGTCATGGGAAATACGGAGATATATTTTTGATCCCTTTATTTTCGCATTGTTGGTTCAACACTGGGGAACCCGCGAGACCCTGTCATTTCCCCGCCTTTTCAGCAGCATATCCCAAAGCCTGATCGACGATGTCATATAAACCTTCTGTCAACATACGTGTGTGTGCATAACAACATGCATGCCAGATCAGGATGAGTCGATGTCCGATATCAACTATCAGGACAGATTAAAAATACAACGGGTTTCCCAATACTCTCGTATGCCCCCGTTGTTGCTTCTTATTTTCATTGATCTTTTCTATGATCTTCTATGCTATACCATGAGTTTTCAATACTGCCTACTTTCCATAGCTAAATTGAACAAGTTTGACATCTCTTTCAATCACGAGTAGTGCTCAAGGCAAATCTATCTACACTACCGATCCCCCTCCATCGTGTCTCACGTCTCTCTTCCATTATCGTGGGTCATTTGATAGACTGCATGATCTCTACGATCTTATGATTGGATCGTACACTACTACTCCCTACCGTGCACGAACACTACGTGCGCTCACAGGACTTATGGCCACAATCTAAAGTCCGACAAGGCCTCTACCCTGACTCGTAGAGTGTATTCTCACATTGTTGATGCCAATGCTTTTCTGATTTTGTGGTTACGACTAGCGTGTTCGCGTTTTACTGAGGTGCTGGTCAGGCCACGTGCTTAGTGAGTGGATCAAGTCGGACTGACTGCTTGGTCAAATGCATTGCGCACCAATTGGATAACAACAAGTCTGAATTGCTATGAAGCCCCTAACTATCTGGCAATTTATGTGGGCTTAATAATGACTTATACATGCGGTTTAATACTATCTCCGGTGCTCCGGTATCCACTGCTGCTTCTGTTCCGTCAGATCAGGCCTGCTCAGTGAGTAGATCAGAGGGCTCAGAGACGTGCTCATATCTACTCAGTGAGCAAAAGCGGCGAGAGTCTGAGCACCAAAACGGAAGGGGAAAGCCAAGACGTGGCATAGGAAATCCGATAGGTAGGCTGAGCAGTCGTTGAGCATATGACAGCGTAACTCGCCGAAATGTATTTGTCGGGACCTCCCGCCCAATAGTGTTGGGGAAATTTAGCGGTGTGATGATGTGATTTGCGCTTTTCTCCGAGGGTTTGCATGATGCACTTCGGATAGTTTGCCCTATACAGCAACGTACATTTACAAGGCGCCAGGAGAATATAGTTATAACTCAGATTAGCATTGAGACAACTCGGCCATCTTTAACAATATGAGCGCTCGGCTATGGTGGTTCCCATACCGGAGCAGTAGTGCGGCAGTGGAGGTAACTCGCCCGCTCCACTCAAGGCCCCACCTACCAATAGCCATCCAGACCTCGTTTTCAAAAATTTTTCCCTGATCTGAAAGAGGCATAGAAACCCCCTCCAAAAACATGTCCAAGGCCAATAGGGAGTATTCCGCCCTATGCACTACTTTTTGGTTACCCGGGGTCTGGATCATGACTCCAACTTTTTGCTTGCTAATGGCGACCCCTCTCTTCCATGCATTTTCCCTTCAAAACCATTCAACTTCCCATAATCGCTCAATTACCCTATTTCAAGACAACCGAGCAAAGGCTGCATACTTGACAAAGCCTCATAAATACGGCATAAAGTATTGCGAAGAGGTAGCGGCAGATTCCGCGTAGAATGTCCATCGAGACTCGACACACCGGCAGCATATCCGCAGCTGGTGACAATGACCATGGCCTTTCACACGACAACCATGCCGATGAGAGCATCGTAGCGACAGCTAGCGAGATCCAGACTGCTTCCAACAACCACGAAAAGACCGCGCGAGTGGAGTCGGAAAAGACCATGACGGAGGTGATCGACTTTGAGAAGCAGGTGCCGACAGATTCAACGCACCAGATGCCCGAACAGGAAACCACATTGAAGGAGGAAGAAGCCTTCCATCGGACAGCATCTACCATAGCTCCATCGCTGAGGTCTGGTCATAGAGATCCCATGAGTCGAGTGACCACAGACGCAGAAGGAAACACTTACCCGGAAGGGGGACTGGAAGCATGGCTTGTGGTGTTTGGCAGCTTCATGGGTCTCCTTGGATCGCTAGGGCTTGTCAACACCATTGGTACATTCCAGGCATACATCGAGAGTCACCAGTTGAAAGAATACAGCTCCGGTAGCATCGGATGGATCTTTGGCATGTACGCTTTCCTGACCTTCTTCTGTGGTGTGCAGATTGGTCCCATCTTCGATGCCCGGGGACCGCGCCTTCTTGTCTTTGCTGGAACTATTTGTGAAATGGCCATGATCGTTCTCCTTGGTTTCTGCACCCAGTATTGGCACTTCATGCTAGTGATAGGTGTCCTCGGTGGAGTCGGTGCATCTCTCATCTTCACTCCTGCGATCTCTGCCATCGGCCATTACTTCTATGTCCGACGAGGAGTTGCCACCGGAGTCGCAGCTACTGGTGGCTCCATCGGGGGCATAGCCTTTCCATTAATCTTGGAAGCGCTGTTCCCGAAAATTGGCTGGGGCTGGGCTACTCGAGTGGTAGCATTGATCTGTTTGATCGCCTTTGGGTTTGCGAACCTCCTCATCAGATCACGTTTGCCCCAGAAGCCATTCTCGAAGGAAAATGTTTTGCCTGATTTCCGCATCTTCCGTGACATGCGATTCACTTTGACTACCGCGAGCGTCTTCTTCATCGAATGGGGCCTTTTCATTCCAATCAGTTACATCTCCTCGTATGCTCTGGACCACGGATTTTCCACGAAGTTTTCTTATCAAATCTTGGCCATTCTGAACGTGGGTTCGTTCTTCGGCCGATGGCTCCCTGGATTCTTTGCAGATTTCCTAGGCCGTTTCAATGCCCTGATCGTCACTGTGGCCCTGTGCTTGCTTTGCAATGCGTGCCTTTGGCTTCCTGCCGGTGGCAGCTTGGCCTTGTTAGTTATTTATGCATTGCTGTTTGGTTTCTCTAGCGGCAGCAATATTAGCTTGACGCCTGTCTGTGTTGGACAGTTGTGCAAGACTGAGAACTATGGTCGGTACTACGCAACTGCTTACACCATAGTGAGCTTTGGGTGAGTCTTCTTCTGCTTCCTGTCATTCCGCTCGCGCTTCGGACTAACGTCCCGTTACCCGACTACCAGCACTCTCACCGGCATACCGATTGCTGGTGAAATTCTGACTCGTTGCAACGGAGAGTACTGGGGTCTCATTGCTTTCACAACTGTCTGCTACGCCGTGGGCCTGGCATGCTGCACCGCTGTCAAGGTCCTTGAGGTCGGCTGGCGTCGCCCCTTAGCCATCTACTAGTTGCTTACCACCTTCATTGAACGGATGGCTAACGAAAATTCGAAAATATAATTTCCCACAATCATACGACTTGACGATCCATGAACCAAAAGTGATTAGACCGCGAAGCCCATATTTCTTGTATCGCTTAATTTTGATTCTGGGAGTTCGCGAGATTGAGCTCTCTCTTATGTTTTGATTATCGCAAGTGATGACGGAGCGCATCGAATCGACAATAGATACATGCATTCAATCACGGCTTTCAATTTCGGTATATAGTCTTTACTAATGTTTTTTATGTTGTCTAAAAATATTATGACCATCCTTAACCCGAATGATTTGAAGTTCCCGCAGTTCGTAGTTCGTTTGGTCGGACAAACCCCAGAGCCCTGTCTATAAAAGTTGGAATCCGGGAATATCGTTCCCTCAGATGAAATAACAAGAACAGGGGCATAAACGTAGACCGTACCCATTCTTAGCATTCGCGTAAGTCAACTCCGTTCGAGTATTCCGCGTGAGATTTCCGCCAGGTACTTCCCCTTATCGCAATCTATGTAACCGGAAGTCACAATGAGAGTAGCCGGGAATCTTAACCGTGGCATCAACCTTCCGAAGACTTCCAATAGGACAACCCAAACCTCGTCAGCACCACGGCACCCTAAACAAGGTCCAAACTTAGAGCTAGACAAGTTGCAAAACTCAAATATCCCATGTTTTAGCTAAGTTCCGATCCCCAAGGATATTGTCATGACATCGAGTACGTATCACTATGAGGAGGAGAGTCTGGTGCCCTACATATGATGAGGTTATTGCTACAGTCCAGACTTCACCTTCCAGGCCATTATCACCGCTTCTAAACTGCATTGCCTTTACAGCTTGTTTTGGCTCTCGCCCGCGCTCTTCTCATTTTTGATTTATTTCTTTGCAACCACAACATCGGGCTCCTGCTTCGTCAAGCTCTGTTGATCAGCGATTGAATTGGAAATCATATGCAAATCTGCCGATCGAACAACAATTCGTCCGATATCCCCTTCTCTGGGCAGTGCATAGATCTAGCCGGCTTTGAACATGTTTCCTAAGAACTGCTGGGCCTTGCTAGTCGTTCCTTGCGTTTTGTTTGCTAGTGGCTTTCCAGCTCCAGTCCGCGGCGAGGGGATTGTCATTGCTGAACGCGATATAAATGCCGGACTGGGACAAGGAGTCAACTCTGATCTGACGGGTGCCATGCTCATGGCGCGGCAATTGGGCGACCCCACCTCCAATCGTGATGGAACAACTCGCGGTTCCCTGACCACTACTGTGACACTGAGTACCTGTCCAACTTCCACCTCACAATCCCTCTCGACTGCCATATGTGACATTGCAACTGCTCTCTGTGCAGCCTGTCCTCCAAGTGTGGTCACCATCACAAGCACAGCGACTATTACAATTGGCAGCGCCCCCCCAGCAACTGTCATAAGGACCGTCACCGAATGTCCTAGCCCCATTACTACGAGTACATCTACCTCCTCGTCCCGACCACTCTCAAGCTCGGCCACTCCGACTCCCAGCTCCAGCATTCGACCTAGAAGTTCCTCAATCATACCATCCTCGAGTTCAGTCATTCCTTCGAGATCCAGTGGTCGACCTAGCACCACCGCCACCAGTGTCACGACTACACACGACTCAACTCCCTTGGGCCGTAGTTTCAGCAGCCCTATATCCCCTCGCACCACTACCAGCAGCACTCTGTTGACCCACCCCACATCGACAGAAACTGTCCGAACGATCAGCCCGCGCGGTGGAGGCACCACGACCACCACACGACGCAATCCTCCCGGTATAGTCCGACGCGAGATGATGGGAAGCATCACTGCAAGAGTCACTAACACGACCAGAACTTTTGCGAATGCGACGACGAGTGGTCCACTTAATTTAACGGCCATTCGGACGGAAACAACCACGACCACCACTGGGGTCTTTCCGCGTTTCCAACGCATCAGGTATCGGTACTAGGTCGAAACAACCCCTCGACAATCTCAAGGCTTGATGGGCAAAAAATTCCACACTGTTGATCGATGGTAGTCTGGAGGTTGGAGTTTGGGGGTTTGCTCTCCTCCACAATTTCAGTTCTCTCTCTTGCTTCTATTTGTATCATACTAGACTTGCTGGGAAATTCCGAAGCGGATAGACAATAGAATTTGCTCGCTTTCTTTTTTACCAGAGTCATGTAGCATCTCGTACTCTGCTCTGTCATCTGCGAGGAGAGATTTGACGCGTCGACGGGAATGACAAGATTGAAGAGGGGAAGGTCAAAACGACATAATTGTACTACAATCGAGGTAAACAATGTTCGTGCAGAATTCCTGGAGTCGCAAAGGATGCAATCATTTTAGAGCCTCGTGGTAAATAAGCTTAAGTTGAAGTCGGGCAATGAGCTTGTCTGGAGGTGGCTGCATTCCGGGGGCAGATGGCGTGATCCGATCTATATCTACCTTGAAGACAACGTCCAAAATTTTAAAGAGAGCTCACTTGAAGCTTAGAAAGCACTTAAAGTCCAAGAAAAAACGAGAAAAAAAAAAGCAAAATCGTTGAGTGGTCAGCGACCAGATGCTGACCAAGGAGATTGACTGTGCCGCGCTCAGTCCGCCTCCTTCCCTCGCACAGAGCGAGTGCCAGGTGCCAGCCCATTCCGTGACCCTAGTACTCGACGAATAGATTTATTTACTTTGCCTCGAAATAGGTTATAGGATGAGCACTCACCAGATCAGGTCCACGGACCGCTTGAAACTCGATAATCCGTGTCCAGAGCATTTGCCTTTTCTGAACAAGTGCTCTCTCCCGGGGCGAAGACCGTGACCCTTGTCTCACCGTCTCACCCATTGAACCGTAGATGAACGAAAGAATAAAACTCAAAATGTCAGCTCTTCCTTATGTTGCGTTTGCTCTGCCCTATTCAGGCATGTGAGCGGCTCCTAAGCTCCTCCACTGCCCCACTCCAAGGCTGGAGTACGCTGGGACAGAGGTTCAGCTGCTGACCGTGGGTCCGTGTTCCGTCCTTCTCAGGAAGTTGTGCGATTTGGGAAATCGTAAACATCGTTTGGAAAATCAGGACCCAGTTCCTCTCCGATTCTCTGATAGATCAAAGAACAGGTCACGATGTGTTTTATGGTCGTGGTCGGCATCATTTGGGTGCTCAAGGGAATCGCACACTAAATACTGGCCGTATACGTGGCACAGCCTTGCCACGGAACCTGGTAGTCCACATAGGTCATCGATAGAAAGTAATGATGACCAAGCCTTGCGCTTAGAAATTATCGAGCATGCCTTTGAAACCCAAGTTGGGCGCAGAGTATATTCAGATTAGGAAAACGGTCTGGAAAATTGGAATTAATCGTAGAGGCTGAGCGGCTGTTCTTCGGCCTCCTGTGTAGTTTCTACCCTGTCTGAGCTGGCAGTCCGTCCCAAAATCAACAAATGATAAATCATGGCCCCCACTTCAGTCTATTTCCAGGGGTTAATAAAAGCAAGGCTTCTTTCCCCAGTGTTTAACTTTTCCTCGATCAACAATTGCACTCTGGAACAAGATGTCACGATACATTGATCAATGCCCAGCACCGGCCAAGGTCCGACCCGTGAAGGTGGTCGTGGCTAGCCCTAGCCGGTAAGATAAAGAAATCCATGCGACTGAACTTCAAAAAACAGAATTACCATACTAATTGGCCTTGGCATACATAGTTCTGGAACTCTGAGCATGTTCATCGCCATGAACATGCTGGGTTTCAAGACGTACCACTTCGCCGAGTGCGTTCTTGAAAAAGGCTTGCCTCATCTGAGATTCTTCAGAGAGGCAATCACTGCACAGTACAATCGCCTGTCAGGAGTCAAGCGATACAACAAGGCCGATTTTGAAAAGTGGATGGCTGAGTATGACGTGAGTACATATCTTTTGCCTTACCTCTTATCGAAGTTTGCCCAGGCAGTCTCATAATTGAATACGTCTAGTGCATGGTCGAGATCCCCAGCTATATGGGCAAAGACCTGCTCGGAGCGTACGCAGACGACCCAGACGTGAAGTTCATCCTTACAGAGCGCCAGCCGGAGAAATGGGCAAGATCGGTCAACAACTCAGCGGGCGGCGTGGTCAAAATGGCAGAGAGCTTCCCCATGAACATTCTGAAGAACTTCGATCCCACCCTCTGCGAGTTTATGAGAATCAATATCCTCATTTATGACGCCCTCGCCCGCGGCACGAGGCCAGGTGACCCAGATAACGAGGAGGAGCTCTGCACATATTACAACGACTAGTACGTGATCCCACAGTCCAACGGCCAAGAAGAGAATTTACCCCGACTAACAATTCCTCGCAGCATCAAAATGGCCAAGGAGGTCATCCCTGCGGATCGGTTGCACATCATCACACTGGAGAATGGTGTGGATTGGGAGGATATTTGCCCCTTCCTAGGGTTGCCAATTCCAGACGAGCCTTACCCAATGCCTAATGACCCTGCCAACTTCAAGAAAATGGTGGACGGGTTCCTGAAGCCACGAATGAGAGCTGCAATTATCAGATTGGGCGCCGTTGCTCTGCCAACTCTGGGAGTTGCTGGATGGGCGTCCTTTAAGTACGGGCCAACGCTGCTGGCTTTACTGAAGGGGATGATGTAGAGGCTCCCAGGGAAGCTTTCTCACAGCTTTGCATTCATATAGAGACATGCAGCGGCGCATACTCCCAGGCACAAGGACCATATGGAGGGAACCTGGCCTTGGTTCTTATTGTCATTTATTTGAGTACACCGGCTTTATACACTTTAGCGCACAAAGACTTCCAATCTATTTCTTATCCCCCGCAACCCCTACCAGACTTCCATACTTCAATGTGTTCATCGTAGCAGCAGAGTCCCTAGCCGAAGGCGAGATTGTCAAAATCATTGCCGAGTCTGTATCGGACGATGCCTGGAAATGCTGACGTAAAACCATCGTGAGCGGCGATGATCGAAAGGGGACTCGAGCTAGTTTCTGTGCCCGAGCACGAATAACTTCTTTCAGAGCAAGGAGATCAGTATTGATCTGCCTCCCCTCTTGCTTTTCCTGAGCTGTCTGGTTTGGCCTCGATCCGTTCTTTGCATCATAGTACTCAGAACCAGCTAGATCCACAAAGACAAGCTTTCCCCCCAAACAAGCATGGCGACGCGATATACTCTGGAACAAACTCGACTCATGCTCTTCAGCGGATCTCACTCTTGCTTCAAAGTCAGCTTTTCTAGCCTCTGCAGCATCGATCCGCCCTTGATCGACTCGATAATCCGGATTCGGGACATATTTCCCTTTCTCATCCAGTACGACAGCCCGGATCTGCTCTTCCAGATAGACATCCGTTGCATATTTACCCACCGGCACAAGCTCAGACTGTCGTTCAACAATCGCATCCCGCGCCTCAAGTAGCTCCTTGGTCATAATCTCCAGCTCAATAACCGCATGAGTCCGTGAACTCTGGTCATGGACTGTCGATGTCCCCGTCGCGCGCAGCTTGAGTCCCCTCTGCAGTTCACGAGAGAGATCCTCAAAGTTCCAGCATGCCTTGGTCACGATTGGTCGCACTCTGACTTTACCATCCTTGAGCATCTCCGTCTTCCCTCGGATGTAGACCTGCCCGTCCGGGCCCTCGCGGACAAAGCATTCGCAGTGATCATTCAGGAGATCAAAGGCGCTGTTCTTTCTGAGCTCGTACAGGCGAATCCCGATACCTAATTGGTCGCCGGTGTTCTCTGCATTTACGCGAGCAAGTTCTTGCATTAAGTGACGGGCAGAAGCTAGACAGAGGCCGAGATTTTCGGTATTCTCATAGTCATATCCGATGATGGTGTGAGTTTTGCCGCTTCCTGAATGGCCGTATGCGAAGAAATTGCTTGATTTGCCCTGTAAGACTCGTGGGAGAACGGAGGCCACTACCGCATTGAAGACGGTCTCGTTGTTATCGTTGATTTCAAATATTCCAGTCATGGACGGCTGACTCGACCATGATTGATCCCGATTTGAAAGGGAGTTGGACTGGAATGGCGCGGCGATGGATATGGATGAAAGTGTCGAATTGTTTTGCGTGATTTCTCGCTGAATCTCTTCATGGCCGGACTCATCCGCGCTCAGACTTCTCCATCGAGCAAAAACCCTGAATGGTTGCATTTCGTCGGTAGATTATGAGCTTTTGTTGGATGATGGCTTTGTGTAAGGCAAGGCCGGACTTTGGTCAACAGATATCCGACTTGAGCCGACTACATGTTTTTCCACGTGATGATTGTCCGTTCCCAGGGTTGCAATCCTGGCTCCTCTATAGGCACCGGACCAGCCAGTCAACAGGTCAGCGTGGGCCGCCGAGGACGAGCCGTATCCACAGTAAGACGGCGCAATACGAGATCATGAAATTAGCATTTGAGTGAGAATACCGATAGTACAAATCATTTCATCAGCGTATACGCACAAGATGGTTGAAAGAAGTCTTCAATTCGTTCCTCAAACGAGTGGTAAACGGTCTACTCGCCACAATAACAGACAAGAGACAATCACCCCGCCCCAGGGATGAAAAAAGGTCAAAAGAGATAACAGAATGGGGAAAAGGGACCTCGGAGCCGTAACCATGCTGTCTGATCCAAACCGAGCAGAATGGACCAGAAAGTAAGAAGCAACTAGATACAATACAGATAAAGGAATATCAAAGGAGAACAGAAACAGGCTCCGAGGCTAGACGGCAAACGAGAGAATAGATGGCAAGCACGGCGGCAATGAAAATGAATCCTTGGGGTGGCGATGTATAGAAAGTAAAAAGAAGCAAAGCCACACCCCCTCTTGATTGCAAACTCCCCCCTTCAGTCACCAACTTGACTGCCGAACCGACCCAGGTTCCTATCAATAGATGCGCCAAACACCACCTGACAAAAGATCAAACGAATGCGATGATTGAGGACGATGAGGGTACCTCGGCGCCACCACCAAGACGACGGAGGAAATATGAGAATGAAGTACGCGGGTATGAGCAGATAAAGGGAAGTGGGGATGGAGCAGACAATCCATGAGAGTTCTGGTTTTGATCCGCCACCAGGAATGAGAAAAGGGAAATGATAAAAGAAGAAGCAGCTGAAAGACTCATATGGACAGGGTATCAACAGGCCACACGGAAATCAACAGGCCAATTTGCAGAGCAGGAAAGTAAATGTTCAGGGTTTGCAAACGACAGCTCAGGTACTGTTGGATCGCAGCAATGTCTGTTTTGAAACGAAAGAAGAACGGTTAGTCGGGGATTGTTCCGGAACCAAGTCCTTCACGAAGCAGACATGCTAACGTACCCGATCATCAATCATCTCTTCATCCTTGTCTTCAGGCTCGGCAACACTGCCACGGCCGATGGGGCCAGTGGTGGTTATTGCCCGGGCCTCCATAGCAGGCCGTGGTGGTGAAGACACCCCTTGTTGCTTCTGTGACCGCTGTTGCTGCTGCTGCTGGTTTTGATTGTCAGGAACGGATGAGTGGATGGGATGCATTTCACCACTGCTCGAGATCCGAGACTCCTTGCTCTTCTCCAGCAGCGAACCACCAAGCGTTGCGCACTTGAGGATGGTCTGCATCATCTGGTTCTGCTTCAGCGGCTTGGACAGGTACTCATCCATTTGAGCCTGAATACACTTCTCGCGATCACCCAGCATGGCGTGTGCTGTGAGCGCGATAATCGGAGTTCGCTGAAGCCCGCTCTCCCGTTCATACTCTCGGATCTTGCCAGTGGCCTCGAAACCACCCATGACAGGCATCTGGACATCCATCAGAATCACATCATAGCGGCGCTTCTTGACGGCCTCCACGGCCTCCAGACCGTTACCAACAACAAAGACATTGTGGTTGTGCCTTTGGAGTATCTTCATGGCGAGTTGCTGGTTGACGTCGTTATCCTCAGCCAAAAGGATGTCGAACGAGCGGGAGTTGTCGGTGGTGATCGGGGTCGACCGGCCTTCCAGCGCGGGAAGCATACCATTACCCATATCGATGGGCTGGCAAGGCGTTGTCATATACGAGCTGATACCAAGGTCCAAGGCGGACTTCAAGCTGACACAGACCAAAGGACAGACCAAAACAATGGGGATGTACTTGAACTCGTCAAATGTTCGCAGGATGCGAGCAGTGTCCACAGAGTCCACGATGATGACGTCGTATGCATGACCAGACTCCTTTCCGGACGGGTCTTGGATCTCGGGCGGGGGTACATGCTCTTCGTTGCGCACCACCAAAGGCTCCAGTTCGATCTGCTTGAGCATCTTCATGACGTTGGTGGCCTGGGCACCGTTCTGACCCTTGTCGATGAAAAGCACTCGGTGGTTCCTGTATGGCAGGAGCTGAGAAGCGATGACATTCAGGGACTGGTCGGCAAGCTTGACCACGCAGGTGAAGTGGAAGGTACTGCCATGTCCGTACTCGGAGGTAACCCAAACGTCACCACCCATGAGATTCACCAGGCGTTTAGAGATCGACAGACCGAGACCGGTACCACCGAACCTACGGGTGGTTGAACCATCCGCTTGTTGGAAGGTATCGAAGATCAAGTCCAACTTGTCTTCCTCAATACCAATGCCGGTGTCGGAGACGGAGAATTCAAAGGCGTACTCGTTGGTGGTGCATTGCTCACGATCAGACTTGCGGATCGTGAGCTTGACTTCACCATGCTCAGTGAACTTGATGGCATTACCAACCAAGTTGAGGATGATTTGGCGTAGACGGAAGGGGTCACCAATGACATAATCGGGAACCGTGTTGTCGACCTGGTACGTGAGGCTCAGGAACTTCTCATTTGCTTTCACAGCAAGGGTCTTGAGTGCATTGAACACGGTACCACGAACGGTGAACGGGATGCTTTCAATGACCATCCGGTTGGCTTCAATCTTTGAAATATCAAGTATATCATCAATGATTGTGAGCAAACTGTTGGCCAGGTTGTGCACCACGTTCAGCATTTCCCGTGTGTACGGCTTCAGATCGTCGGTATCCAGCGTAAGCTGGGTCATACCAATGATGCCGTTCATGGGAGTTCGGATCTCATGGGACATGTTGGCCAGGAACTCTGATTTAGTGCGATTGGCAAGCTCGGCAGCCTCCCTTGCGGCAGTGTTTCTTTGAATACTGTCTCGCAGATTGGACACCATCTTATTGATCTTGCGCTTCAGTTCGTCCATTTCACCCGAAGCGTTGACGGTGATGAGCTTGGTGAAATCACCATCCGTGGCGGCATCGGTAATTTCACCAAACGCACGAACTTGGGATGTTAGATTTTCAGCCATGGTGTTCACGTCTTCGGTAATTTCCTTCCAGGTCCCCGCGATCCCTTCCACGTTGGCTTGACCACCCATCTTTCCGTCAACACCCACGTCGCGAGCAACCTTCTTCAATTCTGTTGCGAACTTGGCCAAACGACCCACCATGTGATTGATGGTCACTTTAAGGGTCAAAATCTCTCCCTGAGCGTGCACCTCGATCTTCTTGCTAAGGTCACCCTTGGCAATAGCTTGCGTCACGTCTGAAATACTTCGCACCTGAGACGTCAGGTTCTGTGCCATGGTGTTGACATTATCGGTAAGGTCCTTCCATTTTCCTTCAACGTTGTCCACCTTAGCTTGACCTCCTAGGGTACCATCGGTACCGACCTCACGCGCGACCTTGCTGACTTCGAAGGCGAACGTGTTCAGACGATCCACCATGCCGTTGATGGTACTCTTGAGATCGAGTATCTCACCCTGCACGTTGGCAGTGACCTTCTTGGTCAAATCGCCCTTTGCGACAGCGGTGGTGACATCGGCAATCTCACGCACCTGAGTGGTCAGGTTGTTGGCCATGCGGTTGACGTTCTCGGTAAGGTCTTTCCAGGTGCCTTCCACGTCGTTCACGGTGGCTTGACCACCAAGGACACCGTCAGTACCGACCTCCTTAGCGATCTTGGTGACTTCCTGTGCGAACTGTCGAAGTTGATCCACCATGGAATTGATGATGTTCTTCAGCGCAGCAATTTCTCCTCGGCAGTTGGCTTGCACCTTCTGTGTCAGGTCCCCCTTGGCGACGGCCTTGGTGACGTTGGCGATATCACGCACTTGCGTGGTAAGATTGTTGGCCATGGCGTTGACATTGACCGTTAGTTCATTCCACATTCCCTGGACACCTTCGATTTGAGCTTGACCTCCTAGTACACCTTCCGTGCCGACATCGCGAGCGACTCGCGTGACTTCCGTGGCAAACGTCCGAAGTTGATCCACCATTGTGTTGATCGTCTGTTGCAGTTCCAAGATTTCACCCTGGGCGCGACTTTCGATCTTCTGACTCAGATCACCGTGGGCGACAGCAGTGGTGACAGCCGCGATTTCTCGCACCTGATCCGTCAAATTCTTGGCCATGATGTTGACATTTTCCGTGAGTTCCTTCCAGATACCGTGGACACCGGTGATTTGTGCTTGACCGCCTAGTATTCCCTCCGTTCCGACTTCGCGGGCGACTCGAGAGACTTCACTACCAAAGACCTGCAGTTGGTCCATCATGGTGTTGATCGTGCGTTTGAAGGTGGCAATCTCCGGGTCCATCTCCAAGGGGTGGATCTGGACCTTCATCGAGAGATCACCATTGGCGACTTGTGTGATGATGCCACCGATTTCTCGTAAGGCTTTTTGGAAGGCTTCGTTGGCCTGCTGGTGCTTCCGGAGCTCCCGTTCGAGCAAGACGACGTCTTCGTTTTCGACCTTGGTGAGCGCCCGGCGGGTGTGCTCTTCCTGCTTCTGCAACTCGTCGCGAACCTGCGCTATAATATCCTTCTGGAAGCTAATCTCCTCGGCTTGCTTTTGCACATGGTTGCGAAGGATGCTAATGTCCTCCTCGCGCACCACACGTGTTGCACCGGTCTCATCCTCCTCGTCGGTATCGTCTTCGTCAATGTCTGCTGCCGGGGCGGGTTGCTGGGGTCGACGAGGAGATTTTTCTTCGGGGCCCGATGGGGTCCGCTGTCGCCGATCGGGTTGATTCAGTTTTTGCTGCTGTGTGAGGCAATAAGAAGAGTCAGAACCTTGACCGGACGACAAGCGATCGAGCCCGAAGGTCCACAAAAAATCAGGGTCCTTCTCGTTGGATCCGATAGCAGACGGGGTGGTCTGCTGGGGATTGTCGGG